GCCCTGATTTTCTCCCGCTCAGGGGATGTGCTTAGATGGCCAACAAGTACAACAGGTCCTTGGATAGAAGTCGCTTATCAGGAAATGGGTACTGAACTCCATCTGCCATAAAGTTGGGTGTGCCCAACATGCACACCTCATTATTGAGGGCTTGAAGATACAGGGCCTGCTGAGCATTGAATATTTACATTTCTAGTATACCTACTTTTTTTTCTGGTAATCCTGGGACTTGAACTCAGGGCCCAGGCACTGTCCCTGAGCTTCTTTGGCTCAAAGCTAGCACTCTACCACTTGAGCCATAGTGCCAATTCTGGCTTTTTCTGTGGATGTGGTACTGAGGAATCGAACCCAGGGCTTCATGTATGCTAGGTGAGCACTCTACCCCTAAGCCACCTTCCCAGCCCTTGGATTGGATTTTAAGTGTAATTATTGCTGTATAAGTGGTTGAAGTTCCAGATTATAATCAGTTGAAGTTCAAGAGATAAGGATCGTTTTCCCAAGGTAAAGTTTACCCCATGATCTCCCAGCCACGTGTGGCTTCTACAGTTTATACAGATATTCTTAGCAGGAGAGAGAGTCCCCCGGAGGAGATAAAAGATTAACTTTCTCCTGTGGTTTTTACTGCGTAGTAAGATGACTGGAGCTGAACTTAATGTCCGGTGCATTTCAAAAAGCTGGGGAAAAGTATCTTGAGTGCTTCAATCTTAGAGAAATATGGTGGCTGGGTATGGTGGTACATACCTGGAACACCAGCCACATGGTTTTTTTTTGTTTTTTTTTTTTGGTCGTGGGGCTTGAACTCTGGGCCTGGGCGCTGTCCCTCAGCTCTTCAGCTCAAGGCTAGCACTCTACCACTTGAGCCACAGCGCCACTTCCAGTTTTCTGGTGGTTTATTGGAGATAGGAGTCTCACGGTCTCTCCTGCCCGGGCTGGCTTTGAACCGCGATCCTCAGATCTCAGCCTCTTGAGTAGCTAGGATTACAGGCATGAGCCACCAGCGCCCAGCTGCCACATGGTTTTTATAGGTAGGAGAATTGCTTGTGGTCCAGTGGTGGCCCCAAAGCCAAAACAGGAGACTGTGAGAAATAAGTAAAGCAAAAAAGGGACTGGAACTGGGGCTCAAGTGGTAGAGTGTTTAGCCCACCAAGGTAGAGATCCTGACTTCAAATGAGAGAATCAGAGACAGCTATGTTTTATGGGATAGAACCATCATTGTCCTTATTATATAGGCTAATTAAAAAATAATGTCTAGTGATCACACCTATAATCCTAGCAACTCCAGAGAATCTGAGGATCCAGGTTTGAAGCTATCCAGGTAAATCTCTGAGAGACTCTGTATCTCCAATTAAATGGCAAAAATAACTGAACGTGGAGGTGTGGCTCAAGTGGTAGAGTGCCAGCCTGGAGCAGAAAAAAATCAAGTGAGGGGCTGAGAAGGTGGTTCAGTGGTAGAGTGCTTGCTTAGCATGCATGAGGTCCTGGGTTCCATTCCTCAGTGCCACACCCATTGAAAAAGCCAGAAGTGGTGCTTGGCTCAGGTGGTAGAGCTCTAGCCTTGAGCAAAAGCAGCTCAGGGACAGCGCTCAGGCCCCGAGTTCAAGCCCCAGGACTGACAAAAAAAAATTTCTCTAAGTACAAGCACATGCCACAGCAGGTAATTTTCCTTCCTTCTTTATGATAAAAAAAACTTAAACCAAAATTAAGGACTGACGCCAACCAGGGCAAAAATAGTTCAATGGAGCAGACCTAATAAGCTAGGAATAGACTTTAATGCATTATTTAAAAGTTTGGCCTATATTGAGGAAGATATCATAAATTCCTGAAGAAAAGGAATTGTGTGTGTGCATGCGCGTGTGCATGGGTGCTAAATTGATTACCTATTTTTTTTTTTGGGGTCCGGTTGTGGGGCCTGAACTCTGGGCCTGGGCACTGTCCCTCAGCTCTGCAGCTCAAGGCTAGTGCTCTACCACTTTAAGCCACAGTGCCACTTCCGGCTTTTTTTCTTTTTGCTTCTGTGGTGCTGAGGAATCGAACCCAGGGCCTTGAGCATGCAAGGCAAGCGCTCTACCACTGAGCCACCTTCCCAGCCCCTTGATTACCTAATTATTTTGAGCTGTAATAAAATTTTATCCTAATTCCAAGTGTTCACCAGAACAAATTCCAGATGGGTTGAATAATATAATAGATGAAACAATAGCTGCTCAGGAGGCAGCGAGCTGAGGATTCAAGTTCAAAGCCAGCCCAGAGCAGGAATGTCCAAGAGACTCTTATTATCAATTAATCTCTTTCTCTCTTTCTCTCACACACACAAAGCTGGCAATGGTGCTGTAGCTCAAGTGGTAGAGCACTAACCTTGAATGAAAAACCTAAGTGACAGTGTCCAGGCCCTGAGTTCAAGCCCCAGGACCGATACAAATAATAATAATAATAATAGATTCATGAGAGTAGAAAATGGCAAATATCCAATGTTCAATTGTTCAATGCCTTTTTGAGCTGGCAGGTATTTTAGGGCTGAGGATTGTAGATCAATGGCAGAGCATTTTGCCTAGCATTTGTGAAATGTGGGTCTGATCTTCAATACTGCAAAAAATCATAATAATAGCAATGAATTGTTAAAAAAAAAAAAAGTAACAACAAAATAAAACACCAGACGCCAGGCACCAGTGGCTGACGTCTGCTGTCGTTCTAAGCTCCTCAGGAGGCTGAGCTCTGGAGGAACACGGTTCAAATCCAGCCCCAGCAGGAAACCGCGAAGCTCAGCTCCAAGGAAAAACCAAAAAGTCGGAAATGAAGCCGCATCTGCTTGGTAGCCAATAGGAAGTGACATCGGGGGGGGGGCGGTTAGCCAATCACACACTGAGGCCCTGCCCCAGCCAATCAGCGCCGTTCATTCCTTCCGGCGTCCTGCGTGCTGCCATGGCTACCGAAGGGCCGCATTCCACCGGCTAGGACTGAGCCTACACTAGCTCCTCCCGTTCCTCCCGCCAATCATGAGTGGTGAAGGGAGGGGAGGCGTGGGAGGAGGGCCTTCTTGGCTAATCACTTCCGGGCACCAGCCAATAAGAAGCGAAACTGCTCAGCCAATCCGCGTGCCTCTCTCCTCGCGTCCCGGGCGCTGCCTTGGAAACGGGCTGGGCGAGTCCAACCGCGGAGGGGTG